CCCGAGGGTTCGGATCCCACATACAGACCGGTTCCCGCTCACTGGCTGAGCGAGGCGCGGGAGCAACACCGAGGGTTGCGATACGGGGGCGGTACGAGGGCGGTACGAGGGTCCGGTACGGGGGCGACACTGAGGGTTGCAATCCGTTGCCGGACACGGAAAAAGACAAAAGACAAAAAAAAAAAAAATTTATATCCATTTAGATTCCATAAAATGAAACATTCCGTTGTTTGGTTGCAGCGGCCACGTTTCAAGTGCTGTGTAGCCACACGTGGCCAGTGGCTTCTGTATCGGACAGCACAGATAGAGAAGCTTTTATCCTGGCAGAGAATTGTGTGGCGCTGAGCGCTGAGCAGGATAGGCCCACCCACCACATCATGCAGGAAGCTTGCAACGTTATGTTGAGTGAAAGAAGCCAGACGCCAAAGAGAACACAGAGAAAGCCCGTTAAATAGTTCAACACGGACAAATCCAAGCAGGTTTAGAAAAGCAATCGTAGGTGGTAAAATTATATAGAAAAACAAAAAAATTATTGTCATGAAGGTGGAGAAAGGAAGGCGTTATGATGGGGGGAGCCCAGGGGGCTTCTAGCAGCTGGTAATTTCTATTTCTTGGCCTGGGTGGTTGGTACTTGGGTGCTTGTTTATAACAGTGGTTTTCTACTGGGGGCAGCTTTGCCCCCAGGAGACGTGTGGTTGTCACGACTGGGGGAGCTCCTGGCATGGAGTGGGTGGAGGCCAGGGACGCTACTCAGCACCTGCAGCGCCCAGGACGCCCCGCCACGGAGAACGTTCCAGCCCTGAATGTCCATAGCCCCGCAGGGGAGAGACCCTGATTTGTAACGATTAGTTTGAACTGCACTTATATGTCGTGTGTTTATTCCATAGTTTACAAAGGAAAGGGAGAGGGAGGGAGAGAGGGAGAGAAAGCAAATAGAAGTGACAGGTGCTGGGACAGATACAAGGGTGAGAGGGGACAGGTCAGGCTCCAGCGGGCATTGCCAGGGTGCATGGGGGCTCAGAGCACCCTCTGCCTATGTCCCCATCTCCCAGCATCAGCAGCAAGTGCTCCAGGCTGTGGAGCGGGCCAAGCAGGTGACCGTGGGCGAACTGAACAGCCTCATTGGGGTGAGTCTTCCCGGCCCCTGGGCTGCCTTAGGGAGACTCCCCCAACCCCAGGTCCCTGACATCTCATAGGTGCCAAAGCTGGGGGCAGCAGGCGTGCAGCTGGCCTGGGCTCTGGCCACCCCGGATGCCCCAGGGGTTATGCCCTCTGCTCAAACCCTGTCCCCACTGTCCGCCTCTTGGGCCAGGGGCACTGCTGGGTGCCTGCCCCCCGCCCGCCCCTGGCCCATCCTTCCTCCCCTCTAGCAGCAGCAGCTCCANACCCTTGACTTGGTGTTGTCAGCACCATGTTCACCCAGTGAGCTAACCGGCCATCCCTATATAGGGTCTGAACCCGTGGCCTCGGTGTTATCAGCACCACACTCTCCCGAGTGAGCCATGGGCTGGCCCATGTATGTAATTTATTTATTTTTTTTATTTTTTAATTTTTTAAAAAAGATGACCGGTAAGGGGATCTTAACCCTTGACTTGGTGTCGTCAGCACCACGTTCACCCAGTGAGCGAACCGGCCATCCCTATATGGGATCCGAACCCGTGGCCTTGGTGTTATCAGCACCGCACTCTCCCGAGTGAGCCACGGGCCGGGCCTTGCATGAACTTTTTGAAGTACGTGCTAGCAGTAACAAATTCCAATACAGAGAATAGAATGGATATGACATAGAAAAGGGACTGTATTCGTTTCTTGTGGCTGCTATAGCAAATTAAGATAAGCTGACTTTAAAACAACAGAAATGCGTTCTCTAATAGTTTGGGAGGTTAGAAGTCAGCAGGGACCCACTCCCTCCAAAGCTCTAGGGGAGGATCCGTCCTTGCCTCTTCCAGTCTGGTGCTGCCCCAGTCCTGGTGTCCTTTGGTTTTAACCGCATCACTCTGCTCCCTGCCTGCGTTTTCTCGTGGCCTTCTCTGTGTGTCTCTGTATGGCTTTCTTGTAAGATCACTAGCCATTGGCTTTAGGGCTTACCCTACTCCCGTGTGACCTCATCATAACTTGCTAATTACACCTGCAAAGACATTATTTCCAAATAAGGACCCATCCTAGGGCCGGCCCGTGGCTCACTCGGGAGAGTGTGGTGCTGATAACACCAAGGCCGCGGGTTCGGATCCCATATAGGGATGGCCAGTTAGCTCACTGGCTGAGCGTGGTGCTGACAACACCAAGCCAAGGGAGACCCCCTTACCGGTCATCTTTTAAAAATAAAAATAAATAAATAAATAAATAAGGTCCCATCCTGAGGTTCCCGGTGTACATGAAATTTTGGGGGACGCTATTTGACCTCCTCCTACATTTCCTTGCCCTTTTTCCTAGTATTCACCACCCCCCCATCCTAGTCTCTCCTAAGATGAACCCCGTTGTCAATTTGGAGCGTCTCCTTCCCGGTCTCTTCCTTGTGAAATGCATGTTACGCACATGTGCACATACGGAGTAATGCACTGGGATTAAGTAATCCCTGGATATCAAAGAAAGAAAAAACAGAAGTTCTAAAATGTGCAGTCGTGCCCCCCAGGGGACACTGGGCAATGTCTGGGAACATTTTTGGTTGTCACGACAGGCTGTTCCTGGCATGGAGTGGGTGGAGGCCAGGGACACTGCTCAGAACCTGCAGTGCCCAGGATGGCCCCACCCCAGAGAGTGACCCAGCCCCGGTGTCCACAGTGCCAAGGTGGAAAAACCCTGCTGTATAATATGCGTTTCTATATTTATTTGTACAAAAATGGGATTATTGCTCTAGAGTTCATGGTTAGCACTTACTGTACATGGGGCACTGCCTAAGCATTCCATATCCCCTTGTATCTTTGCAACCACCCTAGGAGGTAGGTACTATAATTATCCCCATTTTACAGATGAGGAAACTGAGACACACAGAGAGGTTTAGGGACATGCCCAAAGTCACACAGCGAGTGAGAAACCAAGCTGGGACTTGAACCTAGGCAAACTCTTATCTGCATCTCTTCATACAATTTTTTTTTTTTTTCTAGATGACCAGTAAGGGGATCTTAACCCTTGACTTGGTGTTGTCAGCACCACGCTCACCCAGTGAGCTAACCGGCCATCCCTATATGGGATCCGAACCCGTGGCCTTGGTGTTATCAGCACCGCACTCTCCCGAGTGAGCCACAGGCCGGCCCCTCTTCATACAATTTTGCAGCCTGCTTTTTTCATGTCGATCGTATATTGGGGGCGCCCTTCCACGTCATCACGTCTCTGCTTTCTTCTTACACGGCCACGTGGGTTTCCATTCCGAGGTTGTGCACGCCTTACCTCCTCGCTGCCAGCCTTGCTGCATGGGGCTTTCAGTCCTCATGTGGTGGTCTTTGC